TTGTACAGCATCAAAAACTCCACTACTTTTGATTATGAAACAAAACACAAGTGAGTATTTTCGTAAAAAATTCCAGGGCAAGTTATCATACGGAAAACCGAACACGAACATTCCCATAATGACACTTATTGAATTAATGCCGAGAAAATAAACACATCGGCGCAATTTCACAGGTCTGAAATCCGTTTCAGGGATTATTTCAGGTAAATTAAACTCATGAGAATTTTCAAAAATGTAAAGCCAACCATTCATTTCATTTTCGTAAACTTTGAGGTGAATCAAAGCATTAAACATCAAGATAAAACTCCCCAAACAAAATGCTTGATCAGAAATAAAAATCAAGCAAAGCGAATACTCACTTTGACAAATCTTAGGTAGTTCAAAAATTTGGAATATTAAAACAAGTAATTGTGGGATTATAGTTAACACAGAGAAGAAACAACGAATTTTACAAATTTTGTAATACCCACATCCTGAATATTTGCTTTTCAAGTGTTTGCAATAACCCTGAACCGGAAAAAGCCGTTGAAACAAATTATAATTTAAGAATAAAAGACACACGAAACAAAAATTACTTGTTGCTGTCATGGTTTTAAAAGAGATACTAAGTGAAACAAGTACCTAATTCCATTAGCCACATTGAGATAATTGAGATAATTGGAAATGAAGAGTTATTGATTGGCAAATACAGGGTGTTTAATACTCACCTTGCAATTAATTTTTGTTTCCACTTGCACCAACAAAACCAAAATTGACACAATTATAACCCAAGTCCTTAAATGGAGCACAATTAGTGTGGGCAAGGTCTGATCATGGTACTTGATAATGATAAAAATATGCAGAATTAGAGTAGCTACTGATGCTATAAGCCAAATCAACGAAACTTTCGACAGATATAACATTGTCAAAGCAATGTTTTTATTGATAAAGTCGACAAACTTCATGCTTCTTTGTAAGAAATTGTTAACGGATTTTGAAACACTTACTGACTCTTCCAAGACTTCTAACCAAACACCCAGTACATAAATTTTTTGTAGCAACTCAAATAAACAAAAACACTGCACGAGGTAACAGAGAATAACACGGATTTGTCTCAGAATACCCAAAACGGAGTTTTCTTCAAAGAAACAGTTGTGCAAAAATGCCATTAAAATTATGAAAATTACTATTACAAGAAACACGACATGTCGTCTAAATCTCAAACATTTGATTTTTTGTAATGCGACGATGTCGTCCAAATTGAAATGTTTGGTCTTTTCGAAGAAATACAACCAGGAGTTTAATTCATTCTTGTAGGTCTGAACATGAGTAATAGTGATCAGAACCAAAGCTATACTCGAGCTACCAAAACAATACTCTGCAATGGTCATTAGACAAAGTTTTTGGTTTTTATGACATGTCTTTGGTAAATAAAGAAGATCAGATGATAACGATAAAATTAGGAAAAGCGTTAGAAAATAAATAAGGACAACATTTGTCCTAGAAATAGCAAAAATCGGGTTTTTGACAGTTTTGGGGTAGATATGTTTGCACAAACCCTTGACTGGTGAGAAAACCTGGAAAAGAATGAATCTGGAATGAAGAAGACACACAAAGCAAATTTGGAAATTTGATGGTTTAAGGGGAGACACAAGCATATTTTTCACTACTCACTCAACGCAGAGAAACTGTAATGCTTTGTAAACACTTTATCTAATAACATCTTTTAATTAAGTAAATGCACTCAAATTACATACAAGTTGGTGATGAACTACTCATTTATCTTGAATTTCTAATTATTACAGGGAGAATAAAATTACTTCTGTTTTTGACACAGCAATCCAGCTTATTGGAAACAAACAGTTCAAAAATTTAGGGGAAAAAATAAAATACCAATTCGAGATAAAAAAAACTAGTATTTTTTGCAAATAACGAAAAAAATATACCAAAACTATACCAGTAACTTGCGTTTTGAAAGAAAGTATTAAAAATATTCATTTTTATTAAAAAAATACCGTCTGAGGAAGAAACAAACAATTCCAAACCGTTGTCCAAAAGATAATTGTTTCATACAACTAAATAATTTAGTTTGTTGTAAAATAAAAACAATTAAAGCAATATGTTATTATTATTAATAATTAAATTACTCACCACTCGATGAAGGTGTTGAGCAAAAAACATCGAATAAACCACAGCAACTTGAAAAATAAAAACATCGATGCAACACTATAAAAAAATGTGCTACAAAATTAAAAGAAAGAGGAGATATTTGGTGAAAAAGCTTATATTCTTGTGGATTGCCATTAGAAATTTCTTGTAACTTTTCAAGCATTTGACTAGAGTTAAATCTGGTTCATTTATCTTGTTTTAACGAATGTTTAATTTCATCTTTTAAAGTTTCTGTCAAAACAAGAATAAGTTTCATTTTCTGACAAGTGTCGTATAGCAAATGCGACTGAAACAGTGCAGCACATTTCTGGCATAATTAAATTCAAATTTATCAAATGATAAAAATACACGAGGTAGATTGACAATAATAAGGTTTACTACAGCTCCAATTACAGCACTAGTGTTACACATTTCTCAAATTTTTGTTTTTGGGTAAACAAAACCTTTTCAAATTTTTCCCTATCTTAACCTAAGCACTCATCTCTTTTAATCTGGTGTTCAAAGTTAGCAAATTGATCAGAAACGACAACCAACCAATAATTGAAAACATTTGGTCTTCAATCAAAATGATGCAAAATCGTTCAATTTTTGTACAAAATGAAAAAATTAGAATATGAGTGGCCACTGCAAAAATTGATAATACTGTGAAAGTACCATAAATTACTAAATGATATTTTGAAACTATGAAGAGTGCTCACAATAAATGTTAATTTGCGAAAACACGTAAAAATATAGTATTTTAGGTCTCAAAGGAAAAATCGGCGTCTTCAAGTGGCCTTTACTCAAAATTTTACTCAAACTAAATAAAAGTGCTAATACTGGTAATAAAACATAATTGTGAATTACTTACGTGTTTTTCGTGCTGTTGGAGATGGTATAGCAGTATTATCACACCCATAATGATAACAAATGTTCTCACTTGAAACACTCCAAATATGGCGGTTGTTATCATCAAATAGAAATTGATAATTAAAATAATGACGCTGATGAAGAGCCAAATGATAATAACAGGGTTCAAAACGTCGTTGATGATTTTAAAATTGCGGTTGAAGACCAACCAAAATTTTGTGTAATCTCTGATTGAAGGTTCCAAATTGGTATCAGTTTCTAATCTTTGTTGAAATTTCCTCTTAATTGATTTCTTCAAACTATTGGTGATGTAGACCAGAAAAAGCGACTTTTGCGAAAACTGGAACGCGATGTTACACTGAACCAACTCGCTCACGAAAATCGAACCCCTCCTTGTATAATCCAGAGGAGTCATATCAGTCATCCAAAACTGGACCCCAATGAAAAACACAATCGCCGCCGCCAAAACCCCAATCAATATAAAATTCCTCTTCATGAGATTTTTCGTACAATGGACACAAATCACGTTTTCCATCTTAAAACAGTGCCGATTTTCGATCAAGTGCGCCCAAGCGTTCAAATTCTCGAGTCTTGTGTTGATTTGGAGAAGAAAAAAAAACATGCAGAGCAATCCATTGAGGGAAAAAATCTGGTCACCCCAAAAGTGCAAACACATAATCTTGTTTTTGACTTTTGAGCATTCCTCAATCACCACATTGGAGTAGGAAAAGTTCGCTGCGGCGTAGAGGAACAGGAGGATCCAGTCAAAAATTTGGCTCACTTTTGCAATTGCGAAATATTGGGTTTGGGAGAATCGGCGTTTGGAGTGGGGGCAAAAACCGACAATTGGGGTGACATAATGACCGATAAGAAGGGTGTAAGTGAGGACACACACGGCGCAGTTTTTGACTTGGTAGCTCTTCTGAAGGGTGATTTTTTTCAACCACGTTTTGATTTTAGACATTTTGGTGTGACTATCGGAGTGAAACTAACTGTTTTGCAGGGTAAAAAGTTACAAGGAGGTGTCGGGGGAGTCTTAATTGATTGGTCTGAAATAGACAAAGCTTTTAACAAAATTCAAAGAAGTGTTAATTATGATCGATTAGGGTCAATAACTTTTTTCTTTAATGAATTCTAGTGAAAACAAAAATAGATGCGTATCAAGTGTGATGAATATGTACATGCAATGGTTGAGGTACGCAGATTTGAAAGTGTTTAGTACTGGAACCTAAATTTGAAATCTAATCTTCCAATTACGATTTTCTCTTCACAGCCCAAAAACATCTGTCGAAAAATTTTAGAACATGAAAGGTTCTTCAGAATTTCACATGTCGCCTCGTAAACGTTCCAATTTGCATATCCATAACCAACAAACAAAGAAATTTAATATAATTGATCTATTTAAACTTCTTGTCACTGTCAACGCACTTATTCTGCTCCGTTGCTCTCGCTAATTGCTCTCCTTCATGCATAAAACTACAAGAAATATTAACTAAGTACCTTATTTATCCTGTGCGATGACTAAATTGGCCGTAACTGTTTGTGGAAATCGATCCACGAATCACTCTCACTTTTATTCGAGTGCCAAAGAAAAATCGTTGATGGGTCATTACCACCGTTAGAAATTTTTCTAATAAGAGCCTATTATTAATTGTGATAAGCAACAATTACTGAAAAATAAAATCCAGAGAAAGTGCCAACCGCAACAAAGAATCAGATTTAAGAAAAATTCGTATCGAGATTATTGACACTTTCCCGTTCGCTTTCCCGTTTTCAAAAAATCGTTTTTTCGCAGATGACCCAAATTTGTGTCCTTGATAGGGTAATGCCGGACGTAATCTTCCGTAAAATAACGGAACTTTCTAAGATGGACAATTATGTGGGATGGAACAATGCAAAATAGATTTTTAATGAACTTGATGTTAGATCATTGTGCGCTTTTCGTTTACTTTGTTTTTGCGTTTAACCCCACTTTTGCGCACGCAAAATTATAAATACTTCTTCAAGCCGTTGTTGGACGTTTCTCGAACAGAGATCTGAGTTTCAGTGCGCAAGAGTTTTTTAAACGACGGTCCAGAATGGTGCATCTCAAGGTAAGTGCTCGAATTAAACGACAGAATTTTTTTGGAAAATATTAGTAATAAACAAAAACAATTAAATAATTTTTGTATTTTATAGAAACAAATAAAACACTTTAATAGAAAAAACTAAAGTTTTAAGTTTAAATATTTTCAAATTAGTTCTTCTCAACAATTTAAAGCAACGATAAAAAATATTTTAAATTTTTATAGTACTTTTACTCGCACACAAACACCGCTCTGTAAAATAGTGGTCAGTTTTATTATCCTGTCATTGCTAATCGTATCAGAAGGACATTGCAATAGAGCGTAAAAGAGAACCAAAGATTAGCAATACTTTTTTATTAATTAATTTTTCTTATATTTTGGAAAATTTAAATTTTTTGAACTAAATTCAAGTTTAAGTTCAATGTCAAGTTCAAGTGCTAAGTTTTAATGTGTTACTTGATAATTATTGTATAATGTGCTTAATTCTATTATTTGCGCTTTTTACTTTTTATAAGGTAATTTTTAATTTTATAGTAATTTTTTAATACAAATAAAACACATTAAAGCAACAAAAAAAATATTTTGAATTTTGATAAAAGGTACTTTTACTCGTATACCGCTCTGTAAAATAGTGGTTAGTTTGTCCTGTCATCACTGCCCGTATCAGAAAAATAGTTCAAACAACAATTGCAATAAAGCGTAGAAAAATTAATAAATAATTAAGTACATTTTTTATTTAAGTTTTTTACTTTTTAAAAAACATTAACAATTAATTTAACTAAATTAAA